CCACCTTGGGGGCAGGGCAAGTGGTCTTAATTGATATGCTCCCAGAGGGAAACTACTATCCTAAGAATAAGAGCAGCAAATTTCTTCTGCTACTCATCAAAAATGAGCATTCTGGGACCACTCAACAAGTCTGCATCCCTAGCCCTTTACCCCCATTCCTGAAAATCCTCAACCAGGCATAAAACCCCTAGACAACAAGCCAATCATGGATTCTTTTGTCTTCTCCTGGTGTGAGCCAGGAGCTCTGTCCTCTCAGTTCATCTCTAAATAAAAGTCTTTCCCTGGCTCTCCTATCTTGGGTGTTTGCTAAGTTCATTCTTTGACTCCTCAAACAAGAACCCTGGCATCACTTTAAGTGTTTCTAGAAACTTCACAAGGTTAAAGGGGAGATAAATATGGGTGGACAACATAATTAAATGTCTATGTTGCATGAAAAAATTGCAAGTTGCATACAGTATGACACAAAAAATTTAAAACCCCACAAAACAAATACTACATATTGTTTCTGGATTTTGTATAATACTGAGTTAACTGGCAATGCAGCTCCTGCTTTCTTTAGCCAGTCTTGTTTGTCTTTTGTCACTTTTTGACTCACACTCTACTGTTAGTCACACTTGTTGGGGGAGCATTGTGTATTTTCCTTGGTCCTTGTCCCCACTGCAACAAAGAATTGAAGGACAGAGACACAGTAGTCAAGCAGAGTAAAAGTTTTATTTAAGGTTACTTAAAGAGAGAAAACATACAGGCCACCTCAGCAAAGAGAGGTGCCCTGAAAGGTGTGGAGAGAGAAAATTTAAGATTAACCAATTACATACTTAGAAAGTGTGGGCGACCTCAGAGAGTGGAGTGTCCCGAAAGGTTGAGGGTTCCCCCTTTTAAGGATCTTCAGGAATGTGACTAAGGGCTGGCGGTGCAGACCTGTTAAGTGGTCTTTGAATACTTAGAATTAACTTAACACAAGGAACTTCCTGCTCTAATTTCTCCAGTCTTGGTCTGGGAGCATAGCAAACAAGGCTGCCTGCCCAGCACCTCTGCAAGGTGGGCTGAGTTATTGTCTGTTTGCTAATGAGCAAGTTAAGAATCTTACATTTTTAATTTCCTGGGTATTAAAATACAATTTTTAAGATGGAATCCTTCTTGCCCTCTACTATGTTGTTTACAGCTGGGCTTGCATGCTAAATTAGTTGCCTAGGTTACAAACTATTTGATTAGGGCCTGGAAGGAGAAAAAAACAGCATATAGGTAAAGTTAAAAAATAAACTAGGCCTGCATGATTAACACACTAAAGACATGGGCTATGCTGGGTTACCCTCCTTTATCTGGGGAACATTCAAACATTCCAGGCCAAGTTGTTTCTGGCTTTTTGAGCTTTAATTGATTATCTTTGGGTCTTTTTAGTGGACTTTCCTGGCCTTTTTCTCTTTCCACCCACTCATATCTATTTTCCTGCCTAACACACTGAATTAACTTTAGCTCCACAAACTCGCCATGATCTCTCCCACCCCCAGGTCTTTGCTACCTCAATGCCCTACCTGACTATTGGTCTAATTTTCCTAACATATACTCTACCCCTGGTTTCAGTTTAGAAGTCATTTCCTCTATGCCAGTTTTTCTGACCTCATAAATCTGTATAAGATGCCTCTTGCATGTGCCTTACTGTACTCTTCTGCCTGTCAAACTGCCCATTACAACTATTATCAAGGAATTTTGGATTAAATATGAAGTTAAGATGAAAATTAGCAATGATTTTTAAAAAGTGAGATTAAGAGACTATACAGAAAAGTGTATGGGATGCAGCTAAAGCTAGAAAAATTCATAGCCTTTTGGTTATTCATGGCTTTAAATGCTTAGTAAACAGAAAAGGCTGAAAGTGAGCTAATCATTTAACTTAAGAAGCAGGCAACAGAACACCAAAATTAGGAAAAGAAAGCAGAACTGAATAATCAAAATGACAAAAGCAGAAATGAAGCAATTAAATAAAAAAGAAAGTATCTAAATTAAGAGTTCTTTTAAAAGGAAACAAAAACAAAAAAACCCTAAAAATAACAAGCAATATCTTGTAAGAAAGAGAGGAACAGGATCATATTTGTGTTTCTAAAAGACCAATGATAAGGAGATAAGGTTAGGATGAGAAACTGGTGCTAGAGTTTAGAGGACTTCAAAGTTTCTGTTGGAGGCCACTGAGAAATGCTAAAACAAAAAGTGTAAACAATTCAGAAGCATTTAAAGGAAGGAACCTCAGCACCAGACCTAACCATCCCATTTCTCAACACTCTAATAAAAAATTCCTGTGGTTTATCCAGACTTTTCAAAAAGCAAATTCAAAATATACTTGGCCTATTTTCAAAACAATACATTTAACACACAGAATAAAAACAATGCCACTTTAACTGCTGATAATGTTCCATTGTTTACATCTTTATTTAAACTAATAGGAGTACAAATGGATATTAAATAAGTATTAGGCTTCAGTTCTTTTGCTATTACAAATAATGCTTTAGAGAATACGCTTCTATATACTTACATTTTTTCACTTGTACAGGTATTCCTGTAATATAAATTACTAGATAGAGAATTCCTGAATCAGAGGTTCAAATATGTAAAAAGTTGATAAAGCCTTCCCAGTTGCCTTCCAGCAAAAGTGGTCAGTCTAAACTTTCCTAAAAGTATTTGAAAATGTGTAATTTCATATAATCTTGTAAATATTTACTCATCGTATGGAAGAAAAGAAAACATGAAGAAAAATGTATAATTCTCATTTTATTACACATTTTATAATTGTATGTAACATTACACATTTACAATTATAAAATAATACACATTTTATAATTTATATCTTGTTTCATATGTTTATTGGCCATATTCCTCTATGGATTGTCAAGTCTGTGTAGTTTAGATATTTTTCCATTGGGTTATCTTTGTTCTTATTGATATTGATATGTTCTCTACTTATAATGTATATTAGGTCAAGATTCGTGGCTGGAAAGACTGGAAGAAAAATGTAACTCTGGGGAGAGGAAATCCCAGGCCAAATACCTGTAAAACTAAAATTAGCCAAAGGGAAAAATAAAGTTTAAAACCCGTTTATTGCTTACAAACAGTGGTCCGTGGGCTGTCTCTCTTCTGCTCAGGCAGAAGCAAGCGAAGCCTCCTCCCAACCTCTCAGGTCCAGATAAGCCCTTGGTCACCCAAGAATTAATTACCCATTGATATGTAGATGAACTACTTCGCTCCACCCCTTAGGAATACCTGTTGATACGGAGATGAACTAAAGCCAGGTGGGAGATTCTGGCAATACTGCAAATTTACCCACAAAAAGAGATGCTTTTTTACTTGATAGATGAGGACTAGGGGCCGGGCAGATTGAGGGTGGGGGTGAGGGAATCAAGGATTTCATTTTGGACATGTGAAGTCTGAGATGCCTACTGGGATGCCTACTAGTCGTCCAAGTGGACATATTGAGGAGGTAGTTGGAAACAGAGGTTTGGCGTTGGGGATGGGAGTCATAGCTGGAGGGCAAAGGGCCAGTGTGAACGACTTCCGATGATGTCTGAAACACCAAGCCCTGAGTACCTCTCCCGCTGGGAATCAGGAAGATGACGGAAAAGAGGCTGAGGGGCAGCAGTTAGTGCAGTAAGAGAAAGACCAAAAGCAATGATACCCCAGAAGTCGAGGGAGAAAGGCTATGCTCGAGACAGCGTCTCGATGAAAGGCTATGCTGAACTGTTTCACCTGCTGCTGCCAGATCAGGAAAGATGACTAAAACACAGCCACGGGGTCAGTAATTGGAGGTCATTGCCAAGAGCAGGTTCCATGGAAAATGAGATTGGCTTCAAGAGTGAGTGAGAGCAAAGAGGAAAAAGTGACATGAGGCAATACTTTCTCAGTTTTGTTGTAAAAGAGGCAGAAAAATGGAGTGGTTGACAGTTGAAGGGAGATACTGGGGTCAGAAAGGGCTGATTATAAATCACAAGGACATAGCCTTTAAATCCCATTGTTAGCTTACCTCCTTACTAGATCCCTTGAGGACCAAACTTTCTATTTCTTTGCATTTCCTACAATGTTGAGTGAACTACCTCAGAATAGTAAGATCAGAAATAACTATTATTAATTCAGGGTTTGCTACCTGCTGAATATTATTCTAAGCATTTTATATACAATCCCTCATTTAATCAACATGACTGTCCTGCACTCTATATTAGAAAACTGAGGCTCAGAAAGCTTAAATGACTTATTTGTGGGTTTGAATACAGGTCTATTTAACTCTATGACACCTGTGATGGGTTGAATTGTGTCCTCTCAAAAAAGATATGTTGAAGTTCTAATTCCTAGGTCTAATTCTGATACTTCAGAATGTGACCTTCCTTGGAAATTGGGTCATTACAGATGTAATTAGTTAACACGAGGGCCATACTGGAGTTGGGTGGGCCCTCATGTCTTTATAACAAGATGGCATTTGAAGACATGGCGAATGCTATGTGAGGCGAAGGCAGAGGTTGGAATAATGCAACTGCAAGTCAGGGAATGGCAAGGTTTGCCAGCAAGGCCCCAGAAGCTAGGAAGAGGCAAGGAAATATTGCTCTTCAGGTTTCAGAGGAAGCATGGCCTTGCTGACACCTTGACTGTGGACCTCCGGCCTCCAGAACCATAAGCAATACATTTCTGTTGTTTTAAGCCACGCAGCTTGTGATACTTTGTTACAGGAGCCCTAGGAAACAAATAAAACACCATATTACCTCATACACCGAAAATGCATAAGTTGCTTAGTTAGTATCTGCTGATGGATCTAAATGAACTTCTGAACAAAAGAACTTGTTTGCCATTTTGCTATGTGAGATCATGGTTAACATTTGTAGAACTTAAAAGTATCCCTCTACAGGTGGTAAAAAGTACAACTCTATCAAATGTACCATATACAAATGTTTAAATTGTTACACCTTCATAAGGAAGATGCCTATTATGAAATCTAGAGTAATTTTTGCAGAATAAGAATGCCTCACCTATGAAAACATGATGAATGATGCTGTTATGTGATAATCTTGATAGATTTCCAAATTCTGTAGGTATTTGTACAACTCCAGTATCTGTAAAATTGTTATAACAATAGTAGATTCTATGTTTGTCCCATAGTATTAACTCTGGCATTGCTGAGTATACAAAATGTGGAGTTAAAAAAGTGTCAATTGTGACATCTAATGCAAAGTCTTGGTACACCCACTGGTTTGTATCTTCATTATATATCACAAGGTGAATCTTTTTGTTGACATTACAAGTAATACAGTAATTTAACAACAAGGCAAGTTCCAAAGGGTGTCCTGTATATTCAGCATTGTGTATAGTCACAGTCACAGCTGGTGATATATTTAGAAGTATTTTCAGTTGGTTAACAGTTATTATTCTGACAAATTTAAGAGAAGTATATCCAAGATAAAATTCGTTTTCTGTCCAGATTGCCATGCTGCTTCTTTTCCTTTTAGCCTATGACAAAATTGAAAATAATTAGAAAATCTTTGGCTTTGGGGACAGTCCTAGCAATTCCTGTCTTCTAATTTGCTATATTTAAAAATGAAACACAGTAACCACTAAGGTTTAATTTCTAGTATATTTACAAGTAAGACTTCAGGCATAGAAATATATTACACAGAAACATATTTTATTACATATAACTATATAAATAAATTATTCCAGGAATTTTATTCTTGTATATATTGTTTCTATCAGTAGAAATAATTAATCTTAACGACCTTTAAAACGTTTAGAACATCAGCCTTCTCTTTTCTTAAGTGTTTATCCACTCTGGCCAGGATGTTGACCTTTTGACCTTGATGTTGACTAAAGTCAACATACAAGGACACTTTGAAATATTAAGTTATTTTTGGAATTCTAGCTTCCATGGATATCAGATAAAGAGAAGAGAGAATTTAAAACCTTTTAGACAAATCAATTTATGGACACAGGCTATTAAAAGGAAGAGCATTCAGAGATGGCTGTATCTGAAATTCAATGGGCATGATTTCATTTAAAGAGCCAAGGTCATCCTTCTTCCCTGTCTCCCATCTCCAACTGTTTTGAATTCTTAGAGATTTTTACATACATGTAAATTCTATGTCCATGACAATCAAAAGAAGTCTTTTGAGCACATCTTGTCTCCCTAACTTTATTTAATGTACAAATATTTAGTCTATATTCAAACAGGGTGTAGTCAGATATCAAACTAGTAACCAAAGAAAGAGACTATTTGGGATAAAAAGTCATTTTACCAAATGAAGATTCAATTTAAAGTCTAGAGTTTATGTTGCTGGAAATGAGTGTGAAACAAACCCTCATAAAGGAAATAGATTGGAAACAAAATTATAAGCCCTTCATAGAAGATAGCCATAACTATTCATCCTTGGCAGAGGGGTGGGAAAAGGAACCTGTCATACACATCATACATGGGAATCCAAGGAACCGCAGCCATGGAATGAGTTTTCACCCACCCACAAACTTTTTCCCATAGATCTTCACTTAGCGTAGAGTAAACCAAGGGTTCTGGGGCAAGGCAGGCAAACTTAGAGATCCTTCTGAGGCATTCAGGGCCTCTCCCAAATATAAAGCAATTATCCTCTGAAGGAATAGGCAAGGCACAGACAGTAAAGCAGCAAAGTTGAAAGAAATCCATTTGCATTCTGGATTCTTAGCTACCACAGGCTGGGAGTGGGACATGAGAGCTGAGAAAAACTTTCCCTCTGAGATATGCTTGACAGTCTCCCTGCTCAGGGTGAGGGAAGGGAAGCAGGACAGAGAGATGGACAGATCTCTCAAGGCATGAAAATCCAGGGGCAGATGAGAAAGGAGAATTCCTCGGTGATCAAAAGATGGCACCTAGGTTGTAAAGTGCAGATAGCTCTCTCATGGTTTGGAAAGCAGGTGGCTCTGTTGTAGTGTGGAGAGATCTCGGGAACCTTGTCAGTACTGACATCCCGACTATGGCTAAAGAGAAAAAAACCATAATAAAAGTGCTGAAGGATATAATGGAAGAGATGAGCAACCTGAGTGCAGAGACAGGGAATTTCAGCTGAGACAGGCAAGTGTAAAAAGAACAGAATGGAAATGCTAGCAATAAAAAAATGTATCATGAATAAAGATATTAGATGTATTTAAGAGCAAACTGGGAAAAGCTGAGGAACAGAACAGTAAACTTGAAGATAGGTTACTGGCACGAATACAAACTGAAATACAAAGAAAAACAAATTTAAAAAAAATGACCAGGTCATCCAAGATCTGTGGGACACTATTAAATGGTCTCATATATGTGTTTTTGGAATCCTTGGAGAAGAAAAAGAGAATGGTTCAGAATAAATATTTGAGGAGCTAATGTCCAAAAACATCCCCAAATTAATGAAAGACATAATCCCAGAAACTCAAGAAGTTCAGTTGCACCTCAGAAAGGATAAATAAAAAGGAAATCACACTAAGGCACAAAATAAGTGCTGAAAACTAAATAGAAACACAAATTCTAAAGGCAGCTACAGGTAAAAAGACTATATATATATNTATATATATATATATATATATGTATATAATGACTGACTTCTCACCAAAAATGATGGAGGCAATAAGATAATGGGATGATGCCCTTATAAACTGCTTTAAAAACAACAAAACCCACCTGTCATCCTATAACTCTGTATTCAGTGGAAAATGTCCTTCAAAAAATGAAGGCAAAAAATAAAGACACTTTTATACAGACAAATGCTGAGAAATTTTAAAGATATTTTTCTGGCTGAAGGGAAATGAAATCAGGAGGAACTCTGGATGTGCAGGCAGAAATAAAGCATACCTGAGAGGATATATTATGAAAGAATTATTTTTCTATTAGTTTATACCCATATATCTTTATTACAAGTGATTTTTAAAGCAAAAATATTAACAATGTATTTTGGGATTTATAGTACATTCATAAGTAAAATAGGAAGAAACTTCACTACACACAGGTTTCTTTACCCTTCCTCATTTATGTTGTAATTGTCATATGTATTATATCAACACACATTCAAATATTATGAAACATTTGTTTCATATACTTCCTACAAGAAAATGTTACATGTTTTAAGTTTTACTTTTACCTATTAAGCATATTTTAAGGAACTTAAGGGTATAAAAAGAATCTACTGTATTTACCCATATATTTACCATTTCTGTTGTTCTTTAGTCATTCCTAAAGTTTTAAATTTCCCATTTCCTTTCCAGCTGATAAGCTTCATTAGACAGTTGTTTCTTTTAGAGCAAGTCTGCTGGTAATCAATTCTCTTACGTTTCCTTTACCTGGGAATGTACTTCTCCTTAATTCCAGAAAGACATTTTTGTCTGGAAACAGAATTCTAGGTTGATGCATCTTTTCTTTCAGCACATTATTAATATTGCTTTATTGCCTTCTGTCATCTACGCTCCTGATGAGAAATCTGCTAGCTCTTGAATCATTGTTCTCCTATATATGATGTGTCATTTTTCTCTGAGTGCTTTCAAGTTTTTTATGCTTTTGGTTTTCAGTAGTTCACTTGTGAATTTCTTTGCAATTATCTTGATTCAAGTTTATATCTTTTGTCAAATATGGGAAGTTTCTAGATACTATTTATTCAGATTTTTTTTCTACATGATTCTCTTTCTCCTCTCCTTTTTTGGACTCATGTCATGAATGTTTGACCTTTCAGCTATCATCCTAGAGGTTTCTGAAGCTTGGTTAATTTTGAGAATTTTTTTTCTATTGTTTAGATTGGAAAATTTCTATTGATGTGACTCCAGTCTTACTGTTCTCTCTGCCATGTCATCTCCATTTTGCTATTGAGCACATCTAATGAATTTTATTGCAATTATCTATTTATATTCTGAACCTCTGTTTTTGATTCTTAAAATAGTTTTAAACATACCTGTTCTTGAGTACAATCTCATTGAATGTATATAATTTTAGGTTAACAATAAATTTTACCTCAATTATTTGACTATTTCACTGTCTTCTGGTTTCCACTGATCCTGTCTAATAGTTTTATTGTCTTTATTGTGTTTTTAATTTGTCTTTTCTGTCTGGATAATTTTAGTATCTCTTGTTAGTCTTTGATATCCTGCAATTTCATTATTTTGTGTCTAAGTTTTATTTTTTCCTGTATCAATTGAGATTTATTAGTATTTCTGGATTGAGGATTGATCCCTTTCTTTAAATCTGAAAAATTCTCAGCTCTTTCCCATTCTCTCTAATCTTCATTTTGGAATTCTGGTTAGATATATGTTAGATCTTCTCTTCTCCATCCTTTCCTTCATCTCCCCCTCTTTTTCTTCTTTTTTATCCTTTCCCCCCCTCAGTTTTTCATTTTGTTTAATTCCTTCTTTAATTCCAATATATAGTTATTTTTTTTGTATCTAATCTTTGTAGGATGTCCATGGAATTTTACATTTCAATTATTATTCATTTAATTTAATTTTCACAGAAAATGCAACATTTTATTTTATATATAAAATTACCTCAAATGTAGTTTTTTAACACTTATTTTTACATATTAATATTTTTTATATTTAATACACAAACAGAAAATAGACCAAATAGAAAAATACATAGCTGAAAGATTTATCACAAAGTGGAAGTCTGAGTAATGACTGTATAATTTAAGGAACAGAATATAATCAAAACTTCCAAATGCCACTCATGATCTTTCCCAATCACTACATCTTTCCTTTCCAGGAAACCACTATTCTAAGTTATATGGCAATGACTTCCTTGCTTTGAGCTTTACTAATTGCCTTGCCACTTGATAGACTTTTTCCCCCTTATTTTTCCATTTTATATTCCACTTACTTAAGTCTATTAAAGACAATTAACACTCTGTCAATTCCAATACCGGAAGTTTTACAGGGAAGATTCTGGTCTTTGTTGTTTCTGCTGACTCCCATGGCATCTTGTTTATTTATGTGTTTTGCCATTTTTGAATATGAGCTCAGTTTTGTCAGAATGTTATTTGTAGAAAATGTTCAAAGTCTGACTTGAGGGTTTATTCCTACAGAAAGGACTTGTGTTTGATTCTGCATTGTGTAAAGCTTAATATTTTATAACTACACAGGTGCTGTGAATTTGAGTCCCAGAGTGCCTGGCTTGGCTCTGGTCATGAATTAAAAGGCAGACTTTTTCTCTCTTTCTAAGAGTGAAAGCTTGGATAGACTTAATTCTGTTAGGGAACTTTTGAAGGTTCTTGTTTTCTACAAAAATTATTATCAGATGCCCTGCCTTGCTTGGGCCCAAGACTATGTATCCAAGTACCAGAGTCCTAAATATCTGAGATCAGCACATGACTTTATGGCAGTTAAGATTTTAGAATTTGCTTATGCCTCTGAATTATTGCTTCAGGACTCCCCCCTTTCCCCTCAATATTTCCCCTATTTCCATATAAGTCTATCTATGTGCTTAAAAAGTTTAAATTTTTGTGCAGCATTTAGGTATTTTGTAATGTGACAGATTCAGGATATCTTAGTCACTATATTGTTAGAAGAGGAGGAGTTAATACATCTTTGAGAGCGAAGAGTGTCTTTGGAGAGAATTATTTTTTAAACCTTTTGCCCATGTGCCCATATGACTATCTGCATGATAATATGCAAGATTAATTTTATTCTCTATTGTTGGAGGTACATCTCTGTATAGAGGCATCTGAGAAGTTAGATCAGGAATACAAAGCTATTTACAACCATAAATAAAATAACTACAAAAAACTGCAAAGCAGAGTCTATGATATATCACTGAATTAAATGGTATAGTAAATATACCTAAATGTGTAGGTGTAATATGCATATACATAATCTGGTACTAACCTTCAATAAATATTTGGTCCAACACCATGTTCTTGATGCAATGCCAATGATTCCACCATCAGGAAGATCTTCAGGTTTTCCCAGTCTTCTAAATGCATGAAAACTTTTTAAGTAAAGAGTTCCTTTTATTAGAAAAAATATTCCATCCTGTGATAGGTTCACATCAGACACATTGTGTCTTTCGTCACTAGTCAAAATGTTTGGAGGCACTCTGACTCTGGTCCAAGTATGGAATGAATCGTTTGTTTGGAAGGTCTCCATATCAGCTACCACAACAGTAAATGAAGGTACACAAGCATCTGAGTCTGCAATTAACTGACTACCACGTGGTGAAGAGATTGGTAAAAAACCAGGAATCTCAGGCATTGTCAACAAAGGAGAAGTTAGCACAAAAAGAAAATCTGCAATAAAGCAATCTTGAAAGGCCACTTGATTTCCTTTAATCGCCTTTAGCATGTCATCTCTCTTCATTGGTAGTGAGATATGCCAGGTCCTAAGAAGAGAAAAATAGAAAACATAAGAATAAAATAGTTTTTCTCTCTCCTCTCATCCACCTTGCACAGTGCTGACATTTACCGTCTTTTAAAAAATTTTTGTTTTTAGCAACATAAATCTGGGTAAAACAAATCAAATAGTAATAAAATGGTTCCACTGCTCCATTTCTCCTCATTGTGTTTTTTTTTTTCTTGAGGGGGTTGAAATTCATCTGGCTAAATGTGCAATAAAAGTAGAAAAACAAACCCACATTTATAGACAACTCAGAAATCATGCTGTGCCTCATTTTGGGCCACTGCACATAAACTTGTCCCTTCCCCAAGTCGCTCACACCCAAGGCAGTAACTGAGTCATTGAGAGTATGACTTAGGCAACACCCCTTTAGTCCACAGCCAAGTGAACACGGTTTCTATGTGAGTTCTGCAATGATTGACTACCTGTGTTGAAGAATCTCACTTCCTGTAGATTTGAAAAACTCTGATTAGCTTGATTCATTCCCAGTTGTGCTCTGGCTTTGAATTTAGATGTTCTGGCATTTTTTGAGCCCAGTTCTAGTTTTCTCTTGATATGGCAAAGTTGGTGCCAGATGAAATACAAAATAAAGATACACAGGAAGGAACTCAAAGCATATTTGAAATCCTGGAAATTACTAACTGGGAGGCCCATTTATCCAGGGAAGTGCAATTTTTTTTTTAACTGAAGTATAGTTGACATAATATTATAATAGTTTCAGGTGTACAACATAGTGATTCCACATTTAAATGTTACAAAACACGTGATACGTGTAGTTACCACATGTCACCATACCAAGTTATTACACTGTTATTGAGTGTTCCTCCTGCTGTGTCTTTCATCCCCATGACTTACTGGTTTTTTTTTTAAACAGGGGAAAAGACTTTTTTGTTTTGTAAATGGAAGTTTGTACCTCTTGATCCCCTTCACCTACTTTGCCCATTCCCCTACTTCCTTCCCCTATGCAGCTACCAGTTTGTTCTCCATATTTATTAGTCTGTTTCTGGGTTTCTGTTTGTTTATTTTTTAGATTCCACATATAAATGAAATCATATGGCATTTGTATTTCTCTGGAATAAGTACTTATTTTTTTAAACCTTTTGCCCATGTGCCCATATGACTATCTGCATGATAATATGCAAGATTCTTGCATAGTACTTATTCCAGAGAAATACAAATGCCATATGATTTCATTTATATGTGGAATCTAAAAAACAAACAAACAGAAACCCAGAAACAGACTTTTATTTCTTTTCAATAATATTCATGTTGCCTCTTCAGGAAAGTCTGTCCCAATTCCCTCTTGCATGCCATGGTCGGTGTACCCTCTATGTATTCCACTTCACCCTGGGCTCATCTTCATCATAACATCTATTTGTTTACTTGTCCCCCAACTAACTGTAAGGTCATTGAGGGGAGGAATTGTATCTTTTTGTTATAAGTACCTTGTCCTATGCTAGGTGCTCAATAGATTAAGAAAGGCTGTCTGAACCCCATGGTCACCTACTAACTTTAACAGTAATAGATTTTACTTCTCAGGTGGAATCGTGGTGTGTGTGTGTGTGTGCGTGCACATACACTGATGGTGCTAATGATTGTGGTACCAGTCACACTACTGTGGACCAGTTTTATGAGCTAGCAGGAAATATTTTGAGATGTTGCCAGGATTTGGCACCATTCTGAAGGAGGCTTTTGGATTGAGGTTTAGTTATTAATACAAACAATGAAGCTATAATCCAGGAGTGTGACTGGCATTATTTGAGTTGGTGACTAGTTCTGATTATCACAATTTTTTTTGTGTGTATCAAAAAAGCTGTTTGGAAATTACATATAAGATATTCCATGAAATTCCACTAGGGTTTTAAACTTTTAAGTTTTTGATAGTTGTTTTACTGAATTTTAAAAATAAAATTTATATTTGAAATTAAAAAATTAAATACCCATTCTTCATTTTTCTATGTGGAAAATAAACTTTCTTATTCAGAACTGTATATAAGATAGGCTTCTGTCCCAATGTGGCAAACTGCTTGCTAAGTATTACGGAGTTCTGTAAAAAAAAAACAAAAAACAGTCCTCTTTTTACTCTTTTCATAGCCAAAATTAATCTGAAATTATATTATGACTTGCTGAATATTATTTTAGTTAAGACATTGTTTACATTTATAAATTTACCACATTTTCAGGATTCTGGGTTTTTTCTATTAGAAAAACCCCATTAGAACTTTATGAATTATAAATAAATCATAATACAGTTTCCAACTTGTTGAAAACACTATGTACAATCAGAATCCTAAATGAACAGAGATTTTTGGGACACTTAAATAAATGTCTTTAGTTTTAATTTCAATGAAATACATAATGGAGTTTCTAGAACAAATTGTTAGAATTATTTTGATATGAACCTGACTTTAAAACAATGTACCTTTCCAAAGCAGGTTTCAAATGATATCTGGAGGCTTTTAAAAAAATTATCTTAGTATATAGCTAGACCTGACGTGCTCTCTCTTTTTCTACATAGATTTAAGGAGAAGTTGAATTGACTGGAATTATCCCTAATAAGGTATTTTTAGAATAGAGGCAATAGTTTCATTATGGGGAATCCCTAGAATAAAAAAACCAGATATTGAGGGTTAGTCTAGAATTCCACAGATTCCTTCTGCCATAATCCTCCAATAACGTTTCTGTTTAATTTCAGAGAAATATGTCAACAACCCATAAGAGCCATTGAGATTGCTGTAATAAGTGTCAGTAATGTATAGTTGCTAAGACTGTGGGATTAACTTATTTTTGAGAGTGAATGGTGTTCAGGGAAGGCCTCACTGAAGAATTCACATTTATTGACTTTTGATAGAGAAATATAGGTTTGCCTAGTAAACAATAAATAAGAGATATTTAAATTTTGTTTCTGAAAATCTTATTCACTATTCAGAATTTTAAACACAACTATCCGTCATAAAACTCCAGAGGAAAAGAGTAAATGAAGCATTCTTAATGTAGCATAAAATAAGATGGAAATAAAATATAATAAGCAACATATACAATAAGATAATAGAAAAAAAGAAAGGCCAAGGAAAAATTAAGGCAATCATGTAAACAAGTTTAAAGACATGTTTTTCCATTAAGGATAATTCATAGTCATTGAAGATAATTTTATAAACACAGAATATTTAATCATCACATATAGATGATTAAAAAATATAAAAAACACATTTAGTATATTCCCTTAGGATTTAACAAATGTGGGCTGCTGTTATGTATTCATGCTATATAACCTAAAGTCTATATAACATCACTTTTAATGATAGCATGGTATTTGATTGAATGAATATATTTGACAATGTAGATCTTGAATAGTTTAGATTTTATTCTTAGTACATTGGGCAAATGTTGAAGGAACTATTACATGGAATTTTAACTATTTTATTTTGAAAGAATAGAAAGACCACATAGAGAACAGCAGGAAAAACACAGGAATCTACCCCACGCTAGGAAGTGCAGCAGGGAGGAAGGAGTACTATCCAGGGACCCACAGGCAGATTCATCTACCCTGGGGCACAGTAAAGAGCCTGCGATTTAAAGGGCAAGTAGGCTATAAGTGAAGGAAACCCACTAACGCTAGAGAGCCCGCCAGATGGTGGGGGAATTAGTGGACCTCTCTCCAGAACTGGAGGTGCTGGTGAGTGCCACTGTTCACATTCCCTCTCCTCTTTGATAGCCTGGATTGGAGCAGGTTTCAGAGCACTAGCCAACCTGCCCACACAGCAAGCCCCAGGACCCTAGTCCACACTGGCTCCAGATGACCCACAAGTCACATCTCCGCCCATGCCCCAGTGCACCTGCCCAAGCTGCAGTAGTCCCACCTGGGGGCCCCTTGTGTATAATGCCCTGGGACAGCCTCCCATCTCCCCCAAAGCCTGCCTGCTGGGGTTTCGCCCATCCTGCTAGGGTGCTACTGCATGAAGCACACCTGGGAACATCCCTGACATCCTACCAGGGAAGTCCCACCTTGAAGCACGCTGGGACCACCCAGCCCATGCTCACTTTGATTCCAACTGCCCTGCCAAGGTGCCCCCTACATGGAGGACCTCCTGGCCCGTGCCAGTTTCAGATCCAGCCTCAGGACCTGGCTTATGCCCACTTCAACCCCAGCCATTCCAACAGGGTGCTCACTGAGCAGAGTGCCTCAGGACCCCATGGCTCACACAACTTTAGCTCCAACCATCCCACTGGGGCCTTCCTGGTGTGGAGTGCCCAGGGACCCCCAGCCTGAGCCCACTACAGCTCCAGCCAGTCAGCTAGTTAGTGCTGGGCCACTTAAAATAAATTTAACACAGTCCTTAAAAAAGAAATGTAACATATTATTTTAGTTATGATAATAATGTTTCCACCTACTAGTGAAGGTTCATTTGCGCTCCATAGCAACTCATCAGCGTCTGCATTTTCTGGATCATATATCCATATAACTACAACCTACAAAATAAAATATGTTTGCATTTCTTTACATTTTGGTCAAGTTGCATTTTTAGTTGTGGAAAAATGTAACCATAAAAATGTTCTTACGTATTTAAAAATTTTTGATTATCCCATTTAAAAAAATCAAAAGCAATATGTTTTTAACGTGAAACACTCCAAAGACATATAAGAGTTAACAATATCTCTGTACACTCCTGAGATAACTAATGTTAAAACTTCATATGAATGCTTATAGAACTTTCTCTACACTCACAGACACAACTCCTGCCCCACACATACTGTACAAAAAGGGAATCATATTGTACATGTTATTTCTAACTTGCTTTTACCACTTGATACACCATGGCTATTTCAATAGATGTAGATCTTGGTTCTCTTCTTTCTTGTTTATTTTTTTCAATAGCCATTTGTTAAGTTAGTTAAAACAAATTATATTACAAATATAGCAAAAATTGTATCTTCCACCCTGTATTGTATCCCAATACCTAGTTCCCAAAGTCCACTGCACCCAAGTAATTACTATTAGTAGTTCTTGTTTTTATTTCTAAATATTTTGGTGCATTACCAATGAAAATGTGATTTTTTCTTTGTATAGAAATGCAAGCATGCTAACACATTTTTTTCCAATACTGTGTTTTTTAGGTAGAGTTTTATCTTAGAGATCTTTACATATTCTAATTTTTCAGCTTCATATTATTCCCAACTGTGGAGGAACCATAATTTATTTAAAGAGTAACATTTTGAAAGAGGTAAATATGTACAAATATTTGCTTCCAATCCTTTGCCATTATAATCAATGCTTCAATGAGCAAATTGTACATACATGATTTTGTACTTCAAAATATTCCTAAAAGTGTAATTGTTGAGTCAGAGTATATGGGTTTTTAATTTTTATAGATACTGCTTAATTGTCCTCTGTAGCATTTGCACCAATAACATTCTCTCACCAGAAATGTATGAGTTTTCTTTCCTTACAGTCTTCCCCAATTAGTGTGTTGTATATATTTGGATGCTGCCAGTCTGATGGGTGAAAAATGATACTTTGATGCAGTTTTAATCTGCACTTATTTCACTGTGAGAAAGTCTGAGCATCTTTCCATATGTATTTCCTGTATGGTGAAGTGTTTGTTCATTTCTGTTGCCCATTTTCCATTTTTTGATTGGGTTGCCAGTCTTTCATTTATTAATTTGTAGAAATTCTTTAAGTTAAGAACTTCAACATCTGCATCTCTCTCTATATGAATATTTTATTCTTTTATAACTATATGGTGTTCCTCTTTGTCCTGTGAAATCTGTTTGCCTTAGATTCTATATTGTCCCTATAAGTATTACTGCTCACATGCCCTCCCTTTCTTCTTTTCTTCCTTTGTTTTTTTTTTTTTTTTTGCCCTGTTAACTCTTCTTTATTTTTTTATTTTTTTATTTTGGTATCATTACTGTACAATTACATGAGCAACATTATGGTTACTAGACTCCCCCCATTATCAAGTCCCCACCACATACCCCATTACAGTCACTGTCCATCAGCATAGTAAGATGCTATAAAATCACTACTTGTCTTCTCTATGTTGTACAGCCTTCCCCGTGCCCCACCCCCTATATTATGTGTGTTAATCATAATGGTTTTATTGCAGGACATTATTTCTCCTTATATTCCCTTCACTTGTATTAATCTTCTCTCAACCTATGTAATTTGAATTAACAAGTGTGTACTTTACCTATTTTTCTCCACGCTATATAAGCATTTGCAGACAGATGCACGAATATATATGTATTTTAAGAAGAGGCATTTTAAAGGTTTTTAAACCAACTTGGATATTATACATACTTTCCATATTCTCCTTTTTTTCACTCAAGTATACATCATGAAATTTCCCACTGTTAACTCTTACTATGTCTGAATAATATTCTTTGTGGTCACACTGTAATTTAAAGATCAATTTCTATAATGATGAAATTTTACAGTGGCTCCAGTTTTGTTTTGTTTTGTTTTACCACTATTGTAATGCTGTAAAATGTAGATCCTTTTTCATATAGCCCTATGTACTGGAGATTTTATTTCTGTGGAGTAAATTTCTCAGGAATAGGATTGTTGTTCCAAAGAGTATATATATTTTTATTCTAACAGGTGTTTCCACATTACCCTCCAAAAATGCAGTAAGGCCTAACTCTACATTTTCCACTGGCAAAGTTTGAGTTGGACCCTTTTGCCCAGATTCCCTATAGCAGTAGTAATTTTCTCTAGTTTAAGTTTTACCAGTGTGACATTTAATTGTTAATTTAATTTGAACTTTCCTGAGCAAGGTGAATTTCCACATCCTTTCATGTCTGTTATTTGCTCTTGTGTACCTTGCTCTTCTACATTTTCTATTGTCACTTACAGTTTTTGTAATTTTGTAAGAGCTCTTTGTTTGAATTTCAAGTACACAGACACAGAACCAGAATAATCCCAATCCTTGGTTCATAACACTCTTATTGGCATGACCCTCTCTTATGTAATTATTTGAACTTTAAATTAGTAAAAGGAAAACCAGGAACCCACAACTCAACTCAAGAACTAAAACCTTATAAATATCTTTCATTTATCTATGTATTCCTCCTCATTTTGGTTCCCTGTGTCTGCCAGAGTTGCTCACTTTTCTGAATTCTTTCCTGAATGTGTTTATTTCTTTTTAACACATTTAATTTCTGACTCATTTCATTTGATCATACCACACATAGCCCCACAGAACCCGCTTTTTTTCTTTCAACATTATGCAACTAGGATTTATTCATGTTATTGCCCGTAACTTGACTCATTCATTTTCACTGTTATTTAAAATACGATCATGTGAATATACCACAACTTTTTCCATTCTCCTATTAATGGACATTTGGGTTCTTTCTGTCTGGGAGGGATGCACTTTATGAGCACCTCTACTTTTGGCATTTTTGCTAAATACCCACAGTTCAGAACTCAATCTCATAATTCTGGCTTTTAGTTCTTTAATTATTTGTGACAACTAGGATTTTTTTTACTTGCTTTTAAATTCTATACACATATATGCACCTACATTAGAGTAAAAGTCTATACTGTTGTTATACATGCCCACACATATTTGTTCTAGAGGCATCTCTTTTTGCTTTAAGTGAGATGGAGGTTATTCTGTATTATTTAGGTCTATGATATGTATTCCATTTCTAGAAGTTTCCCTGTATTTTTTGTATTAAATACAACTCTTTATCCACTGTTAAGTATTTTCTTGTTATAGCCTTAATAAATAATTCTATAATGTCATTTGGGATAGGAGTACATATGGACACATGGGTTCATTTAGACATCTTAATCCAAGGAAATTTACTTATTATTATTATTTTTGCTGTCTCTTCTTTCCCATAAATCACTGCTTTGAGAAAATTAAAATATCTATATAACTTCAATTTCCAAATATTTTTACCTTATTTCAACTGAAAAATTTTTTAATCTATGTCTTCACCATACTCCTAGTCATCCTCTAATACAGATGTTAACAGTTTCACCCCAAGACCCCTTCATAGTTTTAACAATTATTCAGATTCCCACAGAGCTTTTATGTGGGTTCAGCTCATCAATATTTCCCATATAAAAATTAAATATATGTATTTAAAGATATGCATTAATTTATTTAAAAAACTATGATAAACCCATTCTATGTTAACATAACTAGCATTTTTATGAAAAAATATTTTTCTCAAACAAAAATAAATTAGTAAGAAGAGTGGCTGTCTTACATTTTATATCACCAAGTATCTTCAATATGTGGTTTAACTGCAGACAGCTGGATTATCATCTGTGCTCCTGCACTCAAGCTGTTGTTATATGTTGGTTTGGTGGAAGTATATGGGCAAAATGTATCCTCACATAGAAATGTGCTTGGAAAAGGCTAGACTTCATAGACTTCCTGAAAAGCTCTGTGGATCCCTGGAGGGGGGGCTCCCTAAACCACATCTTGAGTACCAGTTTTCTAAGCAAATATGTTGAAAAATTAGTTTGGAAAATTACTCTTCCAGTAAGTCTGGAAGATAAGAGGGAAGTATAGTAGTGATAAATGAAGATATAAAATTTAAAAAAATGTTTTACCTGGGTTAAATTGTGAAAGAAATTTCTGTTGGGAAAAAGAGAATCATATTTTAGTAAACAACATGCTAAATGTTAGTTTGAATATTCTACTTTCAATATACGTGTTCCTAAATCTTGGAATATTCTCTATACATTCCACTACAGATATATAATTGATTTAATGCTAAGCATTAAAAAGAGCTACATATGTCTAAACTTACATGTAGCTATTAATTCTCATGTGTCATCACAAAATGCTGAAAGGCTTAAATCTGCATATGCTATCTTAACTACCCTACAAATTCACATAGCCAAAGTTGCATGACAAATTGTAAAAATGTGACATGATGATTCCATTAAAAAAGTCCATAGTCTTTATTGGTTGTAATTTATGTCAAAAATTCACTAAATTAGCACAGCACATCCTTCAGTTGCCAGCCTTTCAATGTAAATTTTCTGAAAGAAACACATTTATTTGTATGTTCAGTTGCATGTATTTTTTTTTGTATCATTAATCTACAATTACATGAGAAACATTATGTTTACTAGGTTCCCACCTTCACCAAGTCCCCCCAACACCCCCATTACAGTCCATCAGTGTAGTAAGATGCTGTAGAATCACTACTTGTGTTCTCTGTGTTGCACAGCTCTCTCCATGCCTCCCCCCACATTATACATGCTAATCATAATAGCCTCTTTCTTCCCCCCAACCCTTATCCCTCCCTTAACACCAATCCTTCCCAGTCCCTTTTCCTTTGGTAACTATTAGTCCATTCTTGGGTTCTGTGAGTCTGCTGCTGTTTTGCTCCTTCAGTTTTTTCTTTGTTCTTATACTCTACATATGAGTGAAATCATTTGGTACTCGTCTTTCTCTGCTTGGCTTATTTCACTGAGCAAAATACCCTCTACCTCCATCCATGTTTTTGTAAATGGTAGGATTTGTTTTCTTCTTATGGCTGAATAATATTCCATTGTGTATATGTACCACCTCTTCTTTATCCATTCATGTACTGATGGACACTTAGGTTGCTTCCATTTCTTGGCTTTTGTAAATAGTGCTGTGATTAACATAGGGGTACATACATCTTTTTCAAACTGGGCTGCTGCATTCTTAGGGTAAATTCCTAGGAGTGGAATTCCTGGGTCAAATGGTATTTCTTTTTTGAGTTTTTTGAGGAACCTCCATACTGCTTTCCACAATGGTTGAACTAATTTACATTCCCACCAGCAGTGTAGGACGGTTCCCCTTTCTCCACAACGTCGCCAACATTTGCTGTTGTTTGTCTTTTGGATGGTGGCGATCCTTACTGGTGTGAGGTGATATCTTATTGTGGTTTTATTTTGTATTTCTCTGATGACTAGCGATGTAGAGCATCTTTTTATGTGTCTGTTGGCCATCTGAATTTCTTCTTTGGAGAAGTGTCTGTTCAGCTCCTCTGCCCATTTTTTAATTGGACTATTTGCTTTTTGTTTGTTGAGGCACATGAGCTCTTTATATATTTTGAATGTCAACCCTTTATTGGTTCTGTCATTTATGAATATATTCTCTCAAACTGTAGGATGCCTTTTTGTGCTATTGATGGTGTCCTTTGCTATACAGAAGCTTTTCAGCTTGATAGAGTCCCACTTGTTCATTTTTGCCTCTGTTTCCCTTGCCTGGGGAGATATGTTCATGAAGAAGTCACTCATGGTTATGTCCAAGAGATTTTTGCCTATGTTTTTTTCTAAGAGTTTTATG